TAAAATGTGTGCTTTCCTACAGCCTTTAGCTGGCTTTGGATCAGGCTATACAGGTGCTCAAAATGGAGACTTACATTTTGGAAAGAAAAATGTAAAAATCAGCTGATGCAGAGTTGGTTTTCAGGCAGTGTCTTGCTGGATAGACATCTTACTGTGTGTTTGATGCTGGAGAAGTCATGTCTCCTCACTTTCTTGATTAATAAAATGGGAATTATATCAGCTACCTTCCCAGCAGACCTCTAAAGCTTGCATAATGCTCACTCGAGTGCTGTGATGAAAGGTGTGTGTTTATAAATATTTAACAATCTTATTATCTGTGATTTAATAGAAAGTATATGACGAAACGATATAGTATGTTTTTAACTCAGCGGTGACTCAGACATGATGGTGATCACTGTGTGGTTTGGTGTGGGTGGTTTTTTTAGTGGTATCTGCATGGGTAGGACTGGTTTATTATTTATGTATGTTGACTTGGTATACCTGATATTTAGACTGAATTGCTGTCTCTATATGTGCATGTTTCTACATAAGGCTGGGCATACCATTGATTACTGTGGTGCTGATGCCATGGATGAAGTTTGTGAGGGTTTGGTTTTCTGTTCTGACATCATTTCCAAATCTGTGGTTACCATCCTCAGTCATGGCTCTGCCAGCAAGGGAATTCACCCAACTGCATTATTGATGCCATGGAATAGTCCCTCAGGAAAAGCTGTTGGTGACTGTCACACGTCTTCAGAAATACATTGCTCCAAAAAGAAAGAAGAGAAGCTGAAGTGTTGGAAGGAGTCTATCTATCTGAGCTGCTCATACCAGGACAGACACATATTAAGCATCTAATTCATAAGAGCAGCCAGAACACTGGTTCTGTAAAACATCAAACCGAACACTATGAGCTACAACACCATTCTTTGTGCCCCATTGTGTAGTTAGGACCTGTCATAAAAGATCAGAAGCTGGTTTCTGTCTCCTTTGACACAGGTATAAGTCAGGAGCAGTTCTGCTAGCATTACCATGGTACGAGAGGAGACTGCAAAATATCCGTTAATAACAGTCAAATTTAATTTTACGGGGAAGGAGGGTGGGTGCTACTGTACCACAGATTTCAAGGAGTTATGATCCAGTCTAACGAATACTACAACATTGTTCACAGTGTTTCATCTCCGAAGTACCTCTCCCAAGACCAACTGAGATAATGAAACTGGGAGCATTTCTCATTCTTGTCAGATGAAAATTGTCATGGAAGTGCAAGTGGTGGCTGGCTAGCCAATTTAGTTTCTCAGTGCTTTAAAAATCAGGAGGTTTTGCTCACCATTTGTTGTTGATGTTATCTGATGAGTTTTCCTTTTGCTAATGCTATGCGATTTTGAAGCAATAGGTTTGCTTTCTAAGTCCAGCACTACAAAGTTTTAATTGACAGTATGTGATCTGGGATGGAATGACAAACCTCTCGTCACTGATTGTTGATTCAAACATAGTGCAGCAACGTGTTGGAAGTCTACTGGTGAATGAGTTCCTGCAATGGCTTAGTGATTCAGTCCAAAACAGAGGAGTGGCCATCCTACCATTAACTACTGCCACTTTATTGCCTAAGCATTAAAGATGCATTTAGAGCCCACAAACTCTGGCTAGAGCTTTCCCATTAGCTTCAGCATCTGAAGAATACAAACCTAAAGTGTCTGTGTTTAATCTCCACTGAAAATCAGGTGAGCCTGTTCTTTTGTCTCTCATAAGTGAAGTGAAAGCTTCTAATGAAGAAGGGGAAGAAATGGTGATGCTGTTTGTAACTGTTTAGAAAACCCTAACTGAGCTGGTTGCTTGAGTGGGGGGAGTAAGGGCAGCTGTGTAACCTGCAGGAAAGCAGTCTGTTTCAGAAGTGAGGGGGCAAGTCTCAAAACTGTTGTTTATTTCTCTATTCATTTCTGTTAGCTTTTGAGTGAACACAAGGGTTAATTAGATAGCAGATACCCTCAGGAAGCAGGATGCAAAAAAATGTTTCAGAGCACTGATTCACCACAGTATTTCTGTGAAATTCAGGTCATACATTTTTCTATTTTGTATTCTTGCACATGAAAATGCATGAGAAAGCAAGTCTGTCCATCCCCTGGCTTTGCATGGCCTTCAGTCACATTTTAAGAGAGAGAAAAAAATTAGCTCTTAGCAGAGTGAAGTCTCTAAAAGTTAAACAGTGAGTTTGATTTCTACAGTCCGGCTTTGCAAAGATAGGATGTAGTTTCATATTGTGTGAAGTGATAGAAAGATGCAAGAGAAAGAGCCTTAGCTTTTATTGCAAGACACTGAACAGAAGACTCTCCAGACAGGAGATGTATAGGAAGTTCTTGTTTGTTCTGATTTTGCCTTGGTGGGTTAAAGAGCAGTTTCATCTGGCTGCATAGTAGAGTAATCTTTTGGATAAGTCTTTGGGTTGAATTTGACCATGATGTATGTGTGCTTCCACAGACAATTTAAACATGTGACTCCTGGTACACAGAAGACTTGAGATAATGAGTTGTTTGCTGAATGTTTTGGTTGTTTTTTCTCTGTGTTAATTGGTTTTATGGAAACTTATTGAATGTATGGAGAGGAGT